ATTTATTACAGAGCAATACACAGAGAAATACAAGCAGAGAGTGAAAAAATTTACAGAGATATATAATTTACAACAGATCAGGGTAAAACAAAACAAACACAAAACAACCAATCAGAATAACAAAAATGGATTAAGTTTCAGAATAATTCGGACTGACGAAAGCTAATGCTTTGGGACGTACAGAAAGCTACTACTTCTTTTTAATGCCATTACAAATATCAACACTCCCCTTACATTGAAAAGAAAAAAAAACACAATTTTAAGCTCCAATGTATAAAACAGTCATAGAATTCTGTTTGGGACGAGGCCTAGTTACCATATTGCCATTCATAAACGGATTTACATTTCTTTAACAGTCTTACGAACTTGAATCTATCTGTGTTCGGCCTACTTGATTTTCGGACAATGCTTTAATACAGGGACTGGTTATCAAAAACAATATAAATTAACACTGAAATTTCTAACTTTATCATAAAACATCTGAATACCTTGCTAAAGCAATTATTGACGAAAGTGCAATACACTTTGCTTGGACAGCCACAATAGGACAGTTTAAAAAGTAACCAGTAATGAATTCCTATCTTGAGTATCTCCCCCCCCCCCAATCTGCATCTACAAAAACATAAGTTGCCCTGCCAAATCAATTCAATTTTTAATGGGAAGTGTTTCAAGACCTAAGAACTATTAGAGCACACCAGCAACTCAGCTACTGCAATTAAAATATGGGTTGTAATATATGCTAAGTAAACATCCATTAATTGGGCTTGTTGGGCCAAACGAAAATGCTCAATGGGAGTTTTGGCAAGAAACAGCTTTACAATCAGACATTGTAAATTATCATGTATTTTTTCAATATAGATTCTGATCTAAATATAAACAACCGGACTGGAAACTCAGTGTAATGCCTAAAATTCGAGACAACCTTAGATTTTGACATTAAAATTCTTTAGATAGCAATGATATTATAATATTTGTTTCTTTACATCTGAACCAGAAATTAATACTCATCTACATAAAAGCCATAATTACTTTCTTACAATTTAGATTTCTGTGAAAATATATTAAGTTCCAATTGCTTAAATCTAATTTAATAACAAAATTAAGAATTCCGATAGCATTGTCGAGGGAGAACCGTTAAGACCACATAAACTCTTTTAAGTTTACATTCTTACCACTCATATCATCATATCCTTTGGGCTGGTCCATGTAGATGGTTTCATCTAACCTACCATTCAAGAAAGCTGTTTTGACATCTTAAGTAAAAGTTTGTAAACCTTCATTATTGATGATTACCAGGATTAAACATAAAGAGCACATACTAATTACTGGAGAAAACATGTCTGTATAGTCTACTCCTTCCTTTTGCATGAAGCCACGAGCAACAAGCCTGGCTTTGTAAATTCCATCTCTTTTTTTTTACGTAGAACCCATTTGCAGGAAATGGCTCTTTTATCAGGGGGTAAACTTTGTAGATCCCAGGCGTCGTTATCTTCCATAGATTTCATTTCCTCGTTTTTGCTTGTCTTGTTGTGCAAACATCACTTGGTAAGTCTCAGGATTAGGATACTTAACTGGTTGTTTCTTTTCTCTTGCACATTTTCTTTGTATCTCCTTCTTATTTGCAGCATTTAATTCCATTATCAGTCTAAATCGATTGTCTTCTTTTTTAAATGTCATTCATTTTCACTCATCAGAACTATCGGGAATGTTTTTTTGATTTTCTACTTTTTTTCTTCATTAAAATTTAACATTCTGGAACAATGTGCGTTTTTTTTCTGGAATCATTAAATAATATCCCATTGTCGAATAACCTACAAAATCATTCTGCAGATTTTTCATCTAGTTTTCTTTCTTTGGAAGGTGGCACAAAGTATAAGCATCACAAGCCCAATACAGCATGTTTGTTAAATCAGGATTTTCACCATACTTCAGAAAATAAGGAACTTTGATTGTCAATTGAACTATTTGGGAGTCCGATTATTTATATAAGCAGCCCGTAAGTACTGCTTCACCCCCAAGGAATTTTGGAAATTGCCTCAAATATCATTGCTCTAGCTTTTTCCAATACAGTTCTATTGCTCTTTCAGCAACCCATTTAGAAATGTTATAGGAGATCAGGATCTGTTTTTACACCTGCTCTTTTAGCACCTTCATACAATTTTCCACTGACATATTTTATTGTCACAGCACAGTTTTGTGACAGTTGGATTCAATTTAAAGAATAGTCTAAGTTCATCAGCAATGTCACTTTTTCCTTTGAGTAGTCTTATTTCCATAAATCGTGAGTAGTCATCAATTATAGTCATGAAATACTTTTCCCCGTGGAGTGTTTGAGGCTCTATTGGACCACATATATCAGTGTGCATAGTTATAAGCGGTTTGGATTCTTTTATGCAAGGACCCTTTCCTGTAGGCAAAGCACTTTGTTTGGCATGAATGCATACTTCACAAAATATTTCTTTTGCAGGAAGATTCATTAGTTTTAATTTTTGATCACAACAGTGTCCTAATCTGTGCCAAAAATCATCATTCTTTACTACTAAAGCTGTAAATAGATTTGGTGAAAAATCACTAAAATATTTTCCGCATTTGTCCAAATATCCAAATCGAAAACGCTTGTTTTTGTTTCGATGTAATTCAAATTATGCTCAAACCAACTGCTTCAATATTTTTGATAGAAATGAATTAACCGTTTAATTTTGGAACATAAAGAACATCTTTTAACAGTATTTCAAAACCATTTTTAGTTTTGCCGCAAATGTCACCAATTCCTTCCATTTCTAAAAATTCCAATTTAGATGTGCATTTAACAGTTCCAATCTTAGGGTTAATTGAGTTAAACCATTCCTTGTGAAAGGACATGTGAGAAGTTGCATTAGAATAAATAATAAATTGATCATGCACCAGATTTCCAGCCAAAAAAGTTATTACATGTGATGAATACTTATTACTATTTGAATTTGCCTGCTTTTTAGAATTATCAAACATTCACTTTGACCAGTTTTCTCACAGCTATGACAGACTCAGTTCTTTTTTCTACAGAATTTAACAGAATGTTCTTTTCATTTACAATAAGTACAAAACAGTTCTTTACAAGCACTAATAAAAATAGGGTTGTCCATATTTGGTTTAGAATACTTATTTTCACTTTTGTAATCAATCATAAGAGATCCAGAATCAATAAATAAGTCTGCTTGTAACAAAATCCAAACTCAAATTATCACTTGGTTGATTTTCTAGTGATGCCTTAACATTTTCATATTCCTTTGGCAATGATATTAACATGTAAATAATAACATCAAAGTCACTTACTTCAGATCCAGAGACGCATAGAGTTTTCTCTCCATGCGTCTCTAATTCATTATGTTGTCTCATTGACATATCTTTGGATTTTCTTATGGTAGCTAAACGTTTATGCGTTAAAATTTGACTCATCCTTTAGCACTATATGTAGCTTGCAGTTTCTTTCATATTTTACATGTCGTGTCTTCACGTTGAAGAGAAGCAATAATATTATCATTTAAAAGTGCAAGAATTAGGCGCATGCCTTTTGATTTCGAAAGATCTGCAGTTCTGTCCGCACTTGCTTCTGTCTCCAAAAATGTATCCAATTCCTTTGCAGTAAATACTGCTTGAACTCTTCGACACCAAACAGTAAAGTTATTAACTCCATCAAATGGTGCAACATCAAAAGCTTCCCTTTCACATCCGCTTGAGAAAGCCATCATTCTCGAAACACCAACACAAAATCACGCAAACGATAAATTATGACACTGGTATAGGAGGTTCAATTAGAAAAAATATCAGCGCATTTTAATTTTGACGAACCACGTTCTGCTGTTGAACATTTAAAATGCCGTGGTTCGAAACACAAACATTTGTTACAAAGCAATACACAGAGATCCACGCAGAGAAATACACACAGACAGTGAAAAGGTTTAACAGAGGTCATATATATAACTTTACAACAGATCATGTTTTAACAAATCATAAAGAAAACACAATAAACAACCAATCAAAAATAACATAAAGAAAATATAAACAAAAAAAAATGGGATTATTTCAGAATACATCAGACCTGACAGAAAGCTAATGCATCGGACGTCACAGAAAGCTGTACTTCTTTTTAACCAATAAGAATGCGATTACAAATATCTCAATAGTTGTATGTCATCATTAGCTTTCTCTTTTAAATAAATCACAGTTGCCCTTACTCTTGATAACATACAACCATTAAAATTTTGGACAGAACTTTTAAGCCTTGGATTGTAGGGTGGAGGATAAAAGATTGCTTAATTTTCACTTCTCGCCTCGCTAGACTTCACTCTTCCAACCTTAAAATTTTAATTGCGTCTTTCATTGTTCTTATGAACAATTACTACAGCTTTTTTTTTGGGGGGGGGTACAAGCTTTATCCAAATTACTTGTTGCCTCATATTCTAATTTCTGTATATTTTTCATCTTAAATTATATTTTCCTTTTACCCTCCCCCAAAAAGGAGTTTATTCAGAATTAATTATCGCATCTTAGAAAATCAATTATCCAGTGATGCAGATTGAGTCTGTAATTTTTGCAGTATTTTAGCAATAATATACAAGATTTGCATTATTTTAGCAACAGTATACAAGAAGATTAAATAAAAATTCTGTCAGTCTGTCATACTTAAAAGACATCGTAGAGTCATTAGGTTCGTTGAAGCAGAAACATGAAAGATGTGCAATGTCTTTGCCAGGATTCAAAATCTAAACCTTCAAGTTGCTTACTGAACATGCTTCCAATCACACTATGAATATAAGTAGTAACAATGGGGATAACCTTGGAATATATCTCGCATTGTTGTTTTTGTTAAATTATTTATATAATGTTATGTTTTCCAGAATTCCAAGTTACATTCTAAAAATTGAGATGCATATTAGTAAATTGTATTAAGTTATTTATTTTTCATAACAATGTAGTAGTTTATTTAATTGTTTTCTAATAAAAATGTCCTATACTTTCAGGTTTTGACCTTCAGGTCCCTATTGATTCAATGCAAGGACTTGATCTTGGAGGACAAGTTGGCCATACTGGTTATGGTCCCTTAGATGCAGATATGGATTTAGACAGTCCTCCTGATATCAATTTTGACACTTTGGAGCCCATGCTACCCTCCCCTCCGCAAGATGGTGATGCCTCACAGCAAATGGCAGCTTGGTATGACACAGATCTGTGAAATATCAAAAACTGTTAATTTTAGTTGTATTGAGTAGTCAACTGCTTACTTTGCTTGACATCTGCCATCAGTGAATTTTAAGGAACTTGTTCCAGCCGATTTTAGTTCACGACTAAAAAGAAAGATTACTTTGTATCAATCCTGAAATTTTAGATTTTGGTCTACCTATTCTGTATCTAATTATACCCTATATATTAATGTCTTATTTTTCTAAATTTATTTATTTCATATTGTTTATAAAATAAAGGCCTTTTAGATTTTGTTATTTGAATTTATTATCTTGACAAATTATTTTTCCCTAATTTTTAACATAATCATATGTCTAGTTAATTTTAAAATAATTTCAAATGCATAATGTTGTATAAATAATTTTAAGAATTGAGTTTTTGCATTCGTTGAATCAATGATGTATTGCTGATTTTATATTACAAATACTGAACTGAATTTACCCTAAACATAATTTATATATAATGTTCATATCACACAATATTCAACTTAAATGTTTTAGATCATATTTTCATTTCTTATTTTGTGGTGCTTTTTATAGAATGTATGTTGTATTACTATACACCCCAGCACATATTTCAGTGAATACATGAATATGAGGGGTGGTTATGTATTGTAGTCAAGATTTATTGTCATTTTTTAATTAAAATTCCATAAAGAAAAAAAAGCATTGAAAAGTAATTCAGGCATATTTCAGTACGTTGAGTTTTGTGAAAGATATTTCTAGTTATAAAAGTTTTTAAGAAACTTTCACCCTTTGTATTCTTCATTACTGATAACCTGTGTGTGCCAATGTGATTACAAATTGTGCACTTTCATAAAAACTCATTTTTTCAAAAACAATGTGGTAGTTTATTTAATTTGATGTTTATTCTGAACTTTGAATTTTAGTATTTAATGTGCATTTATTCTTTTTATTTAAATATTTTAATTATTTAGCAATTGTGGATGCTAAGAAATATTAAAATGATTTGTAGTAAAATGTGTTTTGTTTATTGACTAACATCTGAAAACCAATTGCAATTTTCATGAAAATAAATCAGCATATTTACAAAAAAGAATTTTTTTTCCACCTATAGTTGATTGCATATGGCATGATAGTTATCAATAGACTTTGGATGATTATCTGTGGATTTTCATTCCATACAAAAATATGTTTCCACAGCTAATCAGCTGAAATTATGTCCAATGCTTGGGTGGCCAAAAACTTACAGCAATCATGTTCTATATGTGCTTTATATGGATAGCTGTGAGATAGATAATTGTGAAGACCAGTGTTTCTTAAAGTGCAGGTCATCAAAAAAATTAGTTTCAATATTTCTTTAACGTATAATATTTTTACACAATGTATCTGAAAATAGATAGGACAATACAGACAAAGAAAAAAGGAAAACGTTTTGACACATTCTTTTTATAATAGAACATTCATTTTACTTGCTTTGCACGTGATGCTGTCATTTCGTTTGCTGCTTATTTAAAATTTTCACATTTGTTCTATGTCTTAAAATTAGAAATTAAAGTTAATGACCAAAAACTGCAATAGTATATTACAGTACAAGTGAAAAAATTGACAGTTTCACACACGCATGTGTCCAATTTGCGCAATGCTTGTGGGGTCCCACAAAATTTGCTTAAATATTATGGGGTCCTGGGGGTCGCGAAAAAATCTCTGTGATAACATGGGGTCGTGACAAAAAAAGTTTAAGAAATTCTGGATAAGACCAAGGAAGTATTAACATTTGATGGTCATAATTAATTCAAGTACATTAATTAGGAAGCATGTTTTTAAAGTAAGTACAATTGGAAAGTACAATTTTTACTTCGTACAAGGAAGTAATATGCAAAATTGGTTTTTGAATCGATATTTTAATCCAACATATTTTTAAATGACATTTTTTAAAAATAAACGTAAAAGATTTGAACATGCTTTTAAAGTGTTAATTTAAGTATTCAGTTAGAAACTTTACATTCATTCATGAAATGCATTCAGTATTGTGAAAGCATGGAGTTTCAGATCTTTCATCATTAAAGATAAACATTTAAGGGAAAAAATTAGGTGTTCTGCAAGTAAAAAATACAGTTTATAAAATCTTTTTCTAATACAAATTTAGTGATATTAAATAAATATTTTGTTTTAAACAACTAAACAAATGGATGAAACATCTATTAGTATTAAATAATAATTTTTTAACACATTTTGTAAGTTTAGATACTTCAGAATTTCATCTCTCTTCCCCTTTTTCTTTGTAACGGATTAGAATGCAGTCGTGTCATTGATTACAAATGCATACCTACATTCCTTCAATTTCAGTTCTCAGATTTTGCAATTTAAGTTCTTTACGACAGTGAAGCATATAAGGTTCATGTTAGAATGGATGTCTTTGTAAAAGAAAGAGCTCAAAAGAAAACTCATTTGCACACACATTTACATGAGTTACCACCTAGAGACTAGGAACTGAATCTGGGATAAAGTACTTTATTCAGTGATATTATTGTCTATTCACATTCAAAAGAAAAATAACTTGTAAATGTTAAGTTATGATTATTTAAATAGTTACTTTTCATATTTCTCATCTACATTTTGAATTAAAATTCCGTACATAAGTTATGCCATTAAATTATTGAGATTTTAGAACCCTCTTTTTTATGCAAATCAAAAGTCTGATGAAAAATTTTTAACATGTTTTTCATGTTCAAGTGTATCACAACAATCAAACTAAGTTTACTCTTCTATATTTCAATATATACTTCAGATTAAAATTATATAAATTTTTCCATATGTAGATTTGGGACATTTATGATTTAAGGTTTGCTAACAGTTAACTTTACATTAATGATTAATTTATTTCTTACATGCTTTGTCTTGTTACATTACTTGCTTAGACTACAGGGTTATGCTAATTATATGATAAGTAGTGTAAGTTAAAACTAGAATGTCATCTTACCCGGTAGCTTAGTGAAAGTTGCTTCCAGAGCAGAAGTTTGGTAAGTGTTAGAAAAATAGTTGGTTTGCTTAACTCAGTCGATACTGTTCTGGACAGGTTCCAGAATTGTAATAATGAGATAACTCTAACTTAGGAACCAATCACTGTTGCTGATAATTGAAGAGAAGTTGCATTATTTATTTTGTTACCACTTTTAGTTATATTACTTACTACAAGATGTAACTAATAAAGTTCGGTGTTAAGAGTTTGCTTTGAGATTTCTCTTGTATAGTCACTGTAAGCATTAACAGATCCAATTACTCATCAACTATTAAAGGTAGCTTCCTAAAGTTAGCTGTTGTGACAATGAGCCAGTTCTTAGTGACACACTTTAGAAGCCAATGCTTTAAATTACTAAATTTAATATAGTTTTTGTCTGTGAACTGCCAACCAAACCCACCTTGATTTCAGATATCCATTCCATTCAGAAGTGTATGAAGCTCCCATTTCCAGCAACAATATACTGCAAAAATGACCATCATCAGTTTTTATACCGATGCAGAGGCTCTTAGCAAGCATTTACATACAGTGTCTCACAAAAGTGATGGGACACTTGTGCTTTACAAAAGGAAACTGTAATAAAATAAATTAAAAAACGTAAAAATTTTTTGTGGGTGTGTTTCATACTTAATTTAAACAATTATTAATATACATTTTCTCAAATATTAATTTAATAAAAATACAATTGTTTTAGAACGTAGCAAAAATGGCTCCTAAGTGATGGACCCATAGATACTACTATGTACTATGCAGCAAAATCATCTGAAGTAACATAAGTTTTTTTTTGGGGGGTTTTTATTTTTACTCAAATGCAATTGGCAATAATTTATAAAATCGTCTGCAGTAATTTCTCTCCAGTTTGTTTTTGGAATTTTTTGTGTTTAGCTCTGTGCAGCCATGATGCTAAACGAAAAAAACTTTGCCTGAATTCGAAAATTAGTTTATAATTTGCATATTGACGTGGTAAATCTATTAGAGAAACTGCTGAAACAGTTTAACTTGAGTCATTCAACAGTTTTTCAATATCATTAAACGATATAAAAAGAATAATATGATTCAGGATAAAGAAGACCTGGCTGACCATCAAAGCTATCCAATGGAATAAAGCGAATTATCGTTCGAAATATTAAAAAAATCCAAGAATGAGTGCTCCTAAAGTTGCTGCTGATTTACAAGCATTATACGGAGTAATTGTTAATCCTGAGACTATTAGAAGAGTAATTCGATCTGCTGGATATCACGGTAGAACAGCCAGGAAAAAATTCTTCGTAAGTGAAAGAAATAGAAACTCAAGACTGGCTTTCGCAAAATCCAACATAAATAAGAATTCTGATTACTGGAATGAAGTTTATATTTGCTGATGAGAGTAAATTTATATATTTGGTTTGATGGTAGAATCTGGTGTGGAGAAAACCCGGAAAGAATTTCCGCAAACAGAACTTTGTGCCACAGTAAAACATGGTGGAGGAGGAGTTATGGTGTGGGGGTGTATGTCGTCTGCTGGAGTTGGTAATCTTGTTTTTATTGACAGTATAATGGATCAGTACAAGTATATTGACATTTTAAATCAAAATTTGAAATCTTCAGCATGAAAATTGAACCTCATTACGATTTTAAATTCTACCAGGACAATGACCCCACGCACACTGCTTTGAACGTTAGACTCTGGCTGCTGTATAACTGTCCTGAAATAATAAAAACACCACCACAATCTCCAGACTTAAATCCCATAGAGAATATTGCAAAATCGCAAACACCATTTCTTCAAAACAACAATTAAAATCATGCTTCAGAAGAATGGGTAAAATCACACACACACAAAATTAGTCGATCCATCCCAAGAAGATTAATCATGTTTTAAAAGTAAAAGGAATCCAACAAAATTTAAAACGTTTTAAAAGTAAAATTTTTGGATTAATATTTGATGGAAAAGTAAGTGTCCCCATCACTTCTGTGCCATTTTTTGCTCCGTTCTAAACAATTGTATTTTTATTAAATTAATATTTTGAGAAAAAGTATTTTATGTAATAATTGTTACTGAATTTAAGTATGAAACACACCCACAAAAAATTTTTCCATGTTTTTTTAATTTATTTTACTACAGTTTCCTTTTGTAAAGCTCAAGTGTCCCATCACTTTTGTGAGACACTGTATCTTTCATTAGGTGTCAAGCAACTACATATCCATTTTGTCATACTTTATACAAAATTTATTTTATATGATATGACAAGCCTACCCAAAATTGACATCTGATACTGATATTAATTTTTTGATTATAATGTGTCACTTTTCCCAATATTGCATTTTCAGCAGCAGGAAAGTTGTCTTCTATGGCAATCGGACCCAAATAAAGAAAATCTTCCTCAGCAGTGAAGCTAGTCTTTATCTTCTCAGTTCTTTCATTACTTATGTGCAGCTCATAAGCATAATGAAATTTGATCCACAATGAATAATTGTGATAAAATAATGAAATTTCATCCACAGTGTGAACCTGTAGAGGTTTCACCCATTTGCTAAGTAAAAATCTCTCAGTACTTCATTGCTTTTGTTCAGTGGTTTGTTGCAAGAGTTTCTCCATTTTATTTAACTCTTTTTATTTTACTGTGTGTGTTGCAAGCATGGGAATAACACGCACTGGTAAGTCAAGACCACTGGTTTTTAAAGCCAAAATGACAGTGCAAGTTATAACATTCAATTTTTAATACAACTTTTCCAGTTTCTTACTAAACAGTATAATTGCATTAGCCAGCAATGGGAAAGCAATTAATGCTATCTTTGAGAAAATGTTATAAAATTGTGTCAATGACTTGTATCTTCCTCCCCCCCAAAAGAGTAGAATTTATTATGCACTTTTGTTTTTAATGCAATCAAAATGTTACCCCTTTTTTAAACTAAAGATTCTGAGTGAGACAGTTTTTCATTTAAATCAACCATGTGTTAAATGTAATCACTTT